AAGCCCTTCCTTCTGGTCATCAGGATTTCGTAGGATTTGTTATGACCGGTTGGATCAGTTGACTAACCGACCGAATCTTGGCCGCCATCTTTGGAATGTCACGGGTGGTTGTTTACATTTTGAAATAGATCGGTGGTTTTTGTTTTGTTTTGTTTTTTTCTTTTTACTTTACTTTTTCTTCCCCTTATTCTGTTCTTATTCTTCTGCTTCTGCTTTTGTTTTGTTTTTTCTTCTTTTCTTGTCCTCCTCCTCCTTCTAATTCTTATTCTTCTTTTACTAATAATACTAATAATACTTCTTTACTTATTTTCTTTCACTCCTTGTTCTTTTGTATATCTGCTTTTTCTTCTTCTCCTTCCCTTCTTCTTTTGTTAATCTTCATCTTTTTCTTTTTCATATTATTATCACCGTAATCAATCACCATCATCACCATCACCATCATCTTCACAATCATCACCATCACCACCACCATCATCATCATCATCCACCATCATCATCATCATCACTATTATTATCATTATTATCATTCCTTTCTTCTTCAACTATTATTGGCGCTGGAGGTGTTGTTATCAATTACGAAAAGAGAAGATGAGACAATTACAAAGTTCGTAATTATCGTCGACGTAACAAGCAGTTTCGAACCAACACCATCATTAGTAGCATTACCATTACCATAGGATCACTATCACTATAATTGTTATTATCATCGTCACCATCATGATCATCGTTACCATTGTTAGGATTGTCAGCACCATTGCCATAATCTTTTTGTTTTGTTTTATTAGTATCGTTATCTGTTTTTATTTTATTATTTATCATTATTGATATCGATATTATCATTAGTATCTCTTTTATTATTGTTTTTACGATTATTTTGTTTCAGTATTTTATCAAATCTACGAGATGATAATAAAGAGAGTTTATCCCATAATATCATATAGAATCTACTTAAAAATTATATAAAATATTCATGATATTTCTTAATGGTTATTTATGTCTCTTATCATAAATAGGAATCGGTACAATATATCACTAATTGCAGTTTTTTTCTCGTTTATCTAAATTTTAGAATTGAAGTGTGTAATTACAGAACAAAGTGCTAGTATTTAACTCTAAGTATAGGTTCAGGAGAAATAAATATTATTTCCTGTTACACTCCATTTCTGATCAAAAGATTTCTGTCTCTCTCTCTCTCTCTCTCTCTCTGTCTGTCTGTCTGTCTCTCTCCTCTCTCTCTCTCTCTCTCTCTCTCTCTCTCTCTCTCTCTCTCTCTCCTGTCTGTCCTCTCTCTCTCTCTCTCTCTCTCTCTCTCTCTGTCTGTCTGTCTGTCTGTCTGTCTGTCTGTCTGTCTGGTCTGTCTGTCTGTCTGTCTGTCTCTCTCTCTCTCTCTCTCTCTCTCTCTCTCTCTCTCTCTCTATATATTATATATATATTATATATATTGTGTCTATATTATATATTTTCTCTATCTATATATATCTCTGTCTATTTATTTACTATCTGTCTATCTATCTATCAATCTCTTACTTTCTCTTTCTCTCTCGTTCG